TGCATCACATTGTTGAAATATTCAATTTGTGATCCCCTATAGCCCCAGCAGATCCTTTTCAGCAGTACTATTACCTAGCCAGTTATTTCCTATTTTGTAGTTGTGCATGTAATTTTCCTTCCTAAGTGAAGTATTTGCACTTATCTTTATTGAATTTCATCTTGTTGATTTCAGACCAATTCTCCAATTGGTCAAAGAAGTTTTGAATTCTAATCCTGTCCTCCAGACTGCTTGCAACTTCTCCCATCTTAGTATTATCTGCAAATTTTATAAGCATACTCTCTCTTCTATTATCCAAGTCATTAATTCAAATAATTAATAGCATTGGACCCAGGACTGACCCCTGTGGGACTCCACTAAATATGCCCACCCAGTTTGACAGAAACTACTCTGAGTATGGTCTTTCAACCAGTTGTGCAGCCACCATGTAGTAATTTCATTTAGACTATTTACCATTAAATTACCTCATGTTTCACTACAGATTACATCTGCCCTATTTTCAGAAATTCTCCCATAATTGCTTTAGCACCTGCTGATGCCCAGTCTTCTCTAGAGCTTCCATTGCTGCTAGGAATGGTGGAGCTGCAGCACCCATACTAAACTAATAATGAGAGAATTTTTGAGATTTCTCATTGTAGATAGGAAATGCCAAACAGACACAGAGTAGCAAGTGGCCAAGGGTTTTGGATCAAATACACCCCAAAAGTAGGCTGGGATTTTAAAGTGCCCAAATCCCACTGAAATTAATTGCCTGATCACAAATAATTGGAATTGCTGGAATAAATTTTCTTACAAGAAAAATACAGAGCATAAATACACATAGCCCTGTATATTTTTTTAGATTGTTGTCCAGTGTTCAGGCATTTTCAGAATTTATGAATATTAAGATAACTGTGATTGTAAATGGTTACTAGCTGTACTCTTCCAACTCCCCTAACAGAACTAGTATACCAGTTCAAAGGTAATAAAAAGTGCACTAGTACACAGAAGTACATATGGGTTTTAAAAACACACACTGTACATTCCTCTCCAGTCTTTTGTTTGCTGGAGTCCTTTAATCATTTCACTACCTTTTCTACGGTCCTGTACACTCTAGACATTTTCAACCATTATTACTATTTTAAAACAAATTAAACATTGCTTGTGAAGATAACTTTGAGACTGTAACCCCTACTTGCAGACTGATTGAAACAATAACGCTGAGAAGTGTGAATTGCTCCATTGATCTCAAAAGCCCTTCATTTCAAATGGGTGTTAACCCTCAAGCCTCTTATGATAGAATTTAAATAATAATATTGTTAATTATTTCACTGCTGATCATGGTACCCAGTTTATATACTTGTTCAATGTACATATATGTTCCAATCATATAATTTAAAAGGACCTTTTACAATGGAGGAAAGTTGGCTTAGGAAAAGGATGGTTTTATGATGAATGTGTTGGGTTGGAATACGTGAGATGTGGGTTTGCTTCCTGGTTCTATGACAGACTTCGTTTTCCACATTTAATTAATCTCTTAAGTCTTTCTGTGCTTCAGTTTCCTTATCTGTAAAATATAGCTAATAATACTTTCCTACTTCCTAGGTGTGTTTCAAGGATAAATTAATGTATGTGACATTGTTAGGATAACAACATGATCAGCACTATAAAATAAGATAAGAATGACCATACTGGGTCAGACCAATGATCCATCTAGCCCAGTATCCTGTCTGCTGACAGTGGCCAATGCCAGGTGCTTCAGAGGGAGTAAACAGAACAGGCAATCAAAGAGTGATTCATTCCCTGTCCTCCACTCCCAGCTTGTGTCAAAAGAAGCTAGGGACACTTAGAGAGCATGGTGTTGAATCCCTGACCATCCTGGCTAATAGCCATTGATGGACCTATCCTCCATTGACTTAACTAGTTGTTTTTGAACCTTGTTATAGTTTTGACCTTCACAACATACCTGACAGTGAGTTCCACACGTTGACTGTGCATTGTGTGAAGAAGTACTTCCTTTTATTTTAAACCTGGTGTCCATTAATTTAATTGGGTTACACCCCCCCCCCCAGTTCTTCCATTATGTGAAGGAGCAAATAACATTTCCTTATTCACTTTCTCCACACCAGTCAAGATTTTATAAACCGCTATCATATCCCCTCTTAGTCATCTCTTTTCCAAGATGAAAAGACCCAGTCTTTTAAATCTCTCCTCATACGGAAGCTGTTCCATACCCCTAATCATTTTTGTTGCCCTTCTCTGTACCTTTCCCAAGTCTAATATATCTTTATTTGAGATGGGGCGACCAGATTGGCATACAGTATTCAAAATGTGGGCATAGCCTGCCAGGGGTGGCTCTACCAATTTTGCTGCCCCAAACAGTCATTGCCGATTGCGCAGCGGCGGAGCTGCTACCGAATTGCCGCTGCGCCCAGAAGAGCGGCGGAGCTGCTGCCAAATTGCCAATGCGGGACACAGACCGCCGCCCCATTCTGAATGCCGCCCCAAGCACCTGCTTGGAAAGCTGGTGCTGGAGCCGGCCCTGTAACCTGGATTTATACAGAGGCATTATATTTTTTGTCTTATTACCTATCTCTTTCCTAATGATTCCTCATATTCTTTTAGCTTTTTTTGCCTGGATTACCATATCATCTAGGAGCCCCAGCTATGAATCAGGACTCCATTGTGCTAGCTGCTGTACAAAGAACAAAAATATGGTTCCTTCCTCAAGGAGTTTATAAAAAAGCCATATTAGATGCAATATTTGAATAAGCAAAGATATTTGATTTTTCCTTTGCTCCTTCCTGCTTTATGCTAAGTGGTCTGATGTATTAATTTACCAGTTAAGTCATGGTTTTATGGAGTCCTCTCAATCTCCTACTTGCTTATATTGAAACCCGGATTTTGTACCAGTTTCAATATAATTGGCTTTTCTGGTTTGCATCTCCCTGCCATTTGTTTGCTCTCACAGCAATAATTGAGATCCCAAATGCCTTTGTCTTTAGCTTGTTTTAATCATCATATATTATGTGTATTTTGCATTTTAATGAATGGGGCACTCCAAATTCTGGTGTGGCATGGTTTGATGCAATATGGAATTCTGAAAACCCTTAGCCACTGGTTAACTGGTAAACAAATGTGTTTAGGCCACTGTATGTCTCTGCATGGACAAAGCTGGAAACCTGGGGGACAGCAGTCAAGAGAGGTAAGTGTCAGCAGGCAAAACCTCTCAAGCTTTTTCCTGCAGTGATAAGAGTGCCCAACATTCTGACATTCTAGAACAAGTCTTTCTTCCAAGATCAAAAACTTCCCTATGCTTCCTTATCTTCTCAAGGACTCCTGAAGCCCCTGCCCCCTTTAATCCCAGCCCTCTACTGTCAAGAAAAGCCTCTTAAACTAAATCCTTTATTGGCAAAATCCTCCCAGCATTCCCTAGGACAAACTTGACTAAATCAATTACCAGAGCTCTCTCATTTCCCCCCTCCTGCCCCAATACCTCATACCTGCCTTCTCCCCACCTGAATTTGGCCTTGAAGGCCTGAACCCATTAATCTTACATAAAACTCTACTTCAGAGTGATTAGATGTAGTACGTCTTCAGCACAATCTGTAGAACTGTTTTTCGTATGCTTTTCTGTTGTTATTCTGAGTCAACATATAGGACTTTTCATATCACACTATGATTATACATTATTGACCTGTAAAATGATGATTGTTGCTTTATACATAAGACATAGCTGCTGCTTCAAAGAGTTTAGAGTGAAGATAGACAATGGACAAAGGAAAGAAGAAGGAATAAAAACAGTGAGATGGAACAATGCTGTGTATTACAGAGGGTTTTTGGTTTTTGTTTTTTTTTGGCACTAGAGCAATTGGAAGGAGTAAGAATTTGTGTTCCACCCGTTTAACATTTCTGAGGACACGACTAACAGTTCCACTCACACCCATGGGGTGGAGGAGACCCATGTCTCGCTCCAGAGGGTGTCCCCTTGGGTCCTGGAACACCTGTGTGGCTCTCCCTGTGGGCACTAGCATACCCTGCATTGCTGTCTCTCGGGGCAGGTGCTAGTGCTCATCCCTCTGATATGACCCTGTTACTTTCTCTGGGAGGCTTCCTGTGAGTGCTGGGATATCCACATTGCTCTCCCCAAGGTGTTCCCTGTGGGCAGTAGGGAGTCGGGTTGCTATTTGTCCATGTTTTCACAGAAGTTTTTTTGAGGTATCTGTCCTGAGAAATCTGAAAGGGTGCTCAGTACACACCCTACCAGCTATCTAGTTTTATGGGCTCAGGATCATCCTGGATGTCCCATTTTTTTGTACCTCAGAGATGGCAACCCTGCCGAGGACACGCGTGTTACTCTGTCTGGGGTGGGGTGTTTTCTGTGGGTGCTGGGACACCCACATCCCTCTCCCGGGGAGAAGGTGGGGAGGAAAAAAGCTTTTCTGGGACACCATTGTTGCTCTTCTCATTGGGTTTGCTTGTGCATGCCAGGACTTCCCCTATTACTCTCCACAGTGTGTGTGGGGGGAGATCCTATAGTTATCGCATTGCCTGAGCGCTGCCTGAGCTCTCTCGTGGGGTGGGGGCTCCCACGCTGTATATCTCTACGGATTTGCTCCCGCAGAGTCCGATCGTGTAATTAACAGCCCCAATTTACAACCCCCGTGGGGGAGGGGAGGTTGGCCTGCATCACGTGACCCAGCATAAAGCGCTACATCACGCGCGTTACTTAGCGGCGTAGTAGGATCCGCCCCTCTCGCAGTTTCTATAGCGACCGGAGCCGACGCGGCGGCTAAATAACGATAAACGAAATCAATGTTTAAAAAAACCCGAAACGGTGAAAACATCGGCGAGGCCGGATAGAAAATTAAAAAAAAAAAAAAAATCAAACCCGCTAAAAGTATGAAAAACGACAAAAGCCCAGCAAGGAGCCCCGCCCCTTCCGGCTCCAGCGTGACCAATCGGTGCGGAGGGAGCACTGACACGCTATTTAAATATCGTGGAACTGGGGGGTGGGGGAAGCTGTTGGGCGGTCTGTATTCGCCAGTTGGGAGTTTCGGCTTCGCGTCCCAGGGAACCATGGGCAGCCCTGAGGAGAGAGGTGGGGGGCGTAGAAGGGAGCCCCATGGGCGGGGTGGGGGGCATGGTGTGTGTGGTGGCCGGGGGGAGGGATGGGGGGCTCGCCCTGTCCCCCCCAAGCTACTTACCCGGCCCTTTTCACCATAATAGCTGGCTCCTTACTGCTGCCTTTCAGCCCTGAGGTACTGTCTCCAGGGTACAGGCAGATTAAGTGACTTGCCCAGGGTTCCAGGGTGAGGCTGAGGTGGGACTTGAACCCTCGTCCCGGGAGTCCCAGGCTAGGGCCCTGTGTTCTCGCCCATCCTTCCTAGCCTGTATACATGGGCTGTGTGGGTAGGAGCCACTGTCTCATTTCTGTGATAGGTTTTAGAGCTGGGGTGAGTAGCTACCATTTATTCTGGAAAGCTGTGTGGGGCAAGGGAGCGGAGGGAATGGCTTATGTCACAGGGAGGCCTCCCAACTTGTCTTCAAAGTTATGTTTACTTAAAAAATTAAGTAGAGCAGTAAATATCCACCACCTGCCTCTGGTCCTGGCCCCGTGCTGGGCTAGGTGGGGGTTGCCTTTTCTCCTGTCTGAGCACTGTTTGGTGAGGGCAGTACCTGTAATCTTTCTTGCCCTATGTCCCAAAACAAAGTGACTCCTTTTCTTGTGTTATGACTTAATTACAGTCTCTGAGGCTTTCTCTTTGGTGAGGGATCCCAGATGCCCTCAGTTAACATGTTAATATTGAAAATGAAACAAGTTATTGGGCCATAGCTTAAAGACTAATAAACAACGAAGAAGTATTCTTTAATTTCCTGATGTTGAATGCATGTGAAAATGAAACCTTAGGGTAAGTCTTTTGGGGGGTAAATGTGGCCATGCTTCAGCCAGGGGAGGAGAAAATCACTTCAGGACATCAACCAGCAGGTTCTTGAAGCTCTAGCAAAAATTTGCTTTGCTTACTATCGTTTCCTGAACTTTCTGTTTCATCCACTCTGTCCTGTTACTAGCTAAAAACTACTAGGTGATGCAGAAAACTTTTTGTGTGTTGGGGCAGAAAAGAGGAATATGTGTGTGGTAGCACTGCTGGCAGGGGAGGGAGTTAACTTGTCTCTCCGGACCACTGGTAGACACCCCAGCAAACTTCTGCTCTTCTTCCCATGCTGAACATCTTGCTGTCCCAAGTGACTGCCCTTAAGTTAAAGCTAGCCTTGCTTCTTCCCTGCTCATTTGTGCACTTCCCCTCCACTCTCCCTTTCTCTTCTTCCTTGATGTGACTGGAAGGCAGCACACTTATTGCATTTCACATCAGGGTCTGTTGGTTGGGACCTGTTAGTCAGCTCCCTTCCTCAAAGTTGGATGGAAATCAAACTACCCAATTTTCATAATACAACAGCTGCTACATCCCAAGTCCCATTCATGTTCTAATATCCCATCTCCATCTGTATGCTAAAAAATATCCTTTTTAATATTTATGTAAACAATAATTCCTTCTATATGTTGGCACAACATGAAAAAAATTACATAAAATTACTTGGTGTACTAGGCCAGTAGACGAAGTTTGTCCTGCACTCTTTGATGTGATGTTTGCAATGTATGGATTGTGTTGGGATTGGGGAAAATGAGCATTATTGGCAGTTTTTGCTCTGGCTTCTGAAGGGAAAATACAAAAAACTGGCCTGATCCATTAAGCACTCTGGACACATCTATCCTTAAAATTAATGGGAATTCTGTATGTGGATGGCTTGCAGGATCATTGCCATAAACTTCAGATCTCTAATAGAAAGAAACAAATTCTTGTATTGTTTAGTTAATAACAATAGAATTTTTTGAATTGTCAGATCAAGGGTCATATTAAATTTAATTGTCCTTCTTTATTGTTCTGCCCAAATATCAAAGAATACAGTTTTCCATAATGAAAAGCAATTTGGGTGACAAAGGGCTGTCTTTCACTCCTGTCTTTTTCTCCCACTAGTACATAAATAATTTCTTTAGTGTTTAACAGGCATAAAAAGACACTTTCTACTTGCAAAACCTGTTACATGAGCCTTTAGCTGATCGTCTCCTTCCATCATACTGTACAGAGACAGGATTTTGTATTTGTTTTCTAGCTAAATCATTTGCATGTTTTAACTTTTTTTAATAGAATGGGTTGATGTCGCCAATGATCTTCTCATGAAATGTCATGTAAATCTGCATGTGACAAAGCTCACAGAATGTGGTGCTAATGTATTTGTTGGACTTTATGAGTCAATCTTGGGAGAAAAAGTACCAGGTAGGAACAGAGATCCTATATCATTACTTATGTCTCTGGTGGCTTTCTTCGTTTCTATAAATGCAAACATATAAATAAACACAATGGTAGTAGGAGAAGAATTATTAATTTCTCAAGTTCTAATAACCCATTTTCAAAAGTAAAATCACAAAGTAAACTCAGGCCAGTAGAATACTAGCTGTACACAACATGTAAACATATTGTGTAGCTTAACATTCAAACAAACAGGTTTGAAAAATCTAGTGCATACAAGATTGGTGTACTCTTTAAATGTTCCTAAACTACTCAAGTGAGGCCTTGTCTGCAGTAGGATTTAAAGGTGTGATGGTAGCACATGCTATCTGTGTTTTAAAGTTTAGTATGGACAAGGCACACTGCCTCTAAACCATGCTAATCTGGTTAAAAACTTCAGCAGCTTAGTATATGTTAGGATAAGTCTACACAGAAAAAGTGTTAACTCAGGTTAGCTAACTTGAGTAAAATAGCAGCGGAGACACTCTAACTTGGCTTGTATCTGGGGTTAGCAGCTCAAATTCAACTCCAGGCTCCCCTCTTGCCTTTAACTCAAACAGCTAACCCAAGTTACAAGCAAAGTTACCATGTCATTGTTATTTTAAATGAGTTACCTAACCTGAGTAAAGAATGTTTTGCTGTCAAAAAGACAGACCCTTAAAAGCCTTATCTACCATGGACTTTCAAACATGTTAAAGATGTTTTAATACGCCTCTTATCCTATTCTAGACAAGGCTGCTGTAGTGCTAGAATTTGGGAATGAAGTTGCTGGGTGGAAGGTACCAGCAGGACAGCTGTCTGTTACAAAATCAAATACGTATAATCTTGTTCAATTCTGTTCTACTGACCTTTTGTGATGTAAGCCTCCTATCATGAATTTTATTACAAGATTCAGGTGGGATCATGTTACAAACGATTTCTCCCTCCCCTCCCAAATTTCATGCTTATAACAGAAGTTTTTCTTAAACCAGAGCAATGGAAAAATTACTGTAGTGTGGGGCTGTTGGCATTGCTCTACTTTCTATAGTGGATGTAGCTTATAACACTAATCCCAAACATAACCAAGGTTCATTGGTATTTGGTAATTTGCCATACCAGTACCAGTTTGGGAGAACCATTAGTTTTGGAAGAATTTAAGCTTTCATGTTTTGTTTTAAGTTGCTTATCCGTTCTTTATTGATGTGAAGAAAACATAAAGAATATGACTCAATGCAGTGTTGATGTGGGCCATCTCTACTGTAGGGCTTTTGCTGGCATAGCAATGTAGTTAAGATTGTGGGCTTTTAGCCATTTTTCTTTGTCAACAAGAGCCCTAATGTAGACACAGTGCTTTTGCTGGTATAGCTTATTATTTTGCTTGCTGCTGAACTGGTATCATCTATTGTGGTAAAGCACTCTTGTTTGTTTGTTTGTTTGTTTGGTCAGTATGAGCTGGGGTTATGTTAGCAAACCATCCTCTACTGATGAACCTTTTCTAGTGTAGACCAGGCCTTGAAGGGCCTACAGACAGGCTAAAACAATAGCTCTGAAAAGTAAGAACTGGTCCAGTTCATCTGAATGGAATGCTAATGCTGAATCATATCCTATTCTATTCAAATGTTTTAGTATTACATATCTAGAATGTGATTTTTTTTTTTCAAAAGCACTAAACCTCTGCCAAACTCCTGTTCAGATCAATGATAAATCTCCCATTGACTTCACTGGCAGCAGAACTAAGCCAGTGCTGAGCAATTTTGTATGTAAACCTTTTTTACTCTGGGGTAAACTACAAATGTTTGGGGAATGTCCAGACTAGCTTTTACAAAGGTGTTAACTGCTTTAACTGGCAATCAAATTTGAGGTTAAAAAAACATCTTAATGAAGACATGCTCTGAAGCCTGTTAATCCAAACTAATTTTAAAGTGTTTAAAAACTGGTTCATGTAACACCATTGCTGGTATAGTACAGAAGAGAGAGACCTTAAACAAAATACAACAAACTCTAGTCAAGATCCCAAAATTTAAATTGTTTTTACGTTTTCCCATTGTACTAAAAGCTGAGAGAAAAATACTACTTTATTCAATTTTATCTTCTAAGTCAAGTTTCATAACTGAATGCAGATGCATGTGAATTATAACCAGTGGCTCTTTATCTGTTTATGTATTTGAGTGCACGCTCTGTGCTTATATGCAGTAACCATTGAATTGTTTTCCTATGACAAAATGACAATTGGGTTTCCCACCCTTACTTTACACAATCTTTGCATTTAACTTCATTGCAAATAAACTAGAAACAACTATGCCGCTTTTAGGGCCTACACAGAACATTATCCCCTTCAAGTAGGCTGTAGTATGATGTAATGCTTCTTCTTTGTAGATTTCATAGCCTCTCCCAAAAGCCAAGAGGATGATGCACATAATGTGCAAGCAGTAATAGATTCTCTGGCATTGGACTACTTGCAGGTCAGCTTGTCTCACATCACTGGTGAGTACTTACAGTCATAGTCAACAGAAATGAGGAGTATACATGTGTGATTGAAAAATACCTAAGACCTTACTTTCAACTTACTTTTTATAAGCAAGGATCTGATCTTTCAGAGTGTTTCCATATCTGCATGCAAAATTGTGCATGTGCAATGAGTTATGCCCAAAAATAGTCTTGGTCTGAAAACTGGGCCATCAATTTAGAGAACAAGCAAATAACTAAAAAATTAGATTAAAGCACCTAATTGGATTTCATATGTACTGTATTGCAGTGTAGAAAGTAATAAATCAACGTTGAGGTTATTAGTTTTTTACCTTGAAGCTACCAGTTGGATTGAGACACTGCAGACATCTAATTACTCCTAGTGGAATATATAGCAGTTTTTATCTTGTTTTCTGCATCAAGTCACACTCTTCCACTCAGCTGGAACAATGTTGTGGTTGGCTGTGTCAGGTTGTATGAGAAGAGTCTTTTCCCTTCTCACCTTGGAAACAGTAGAAGAAGCCTTGAATGTGTGATTGGGGGTATAATTGCCATACTTGGCAACAGAGGAGAAACACATTGTGGTGGTAAACACTTGGACTCGAACAGATACTTAAACAGACAAGTCAAGATGAACTGTCTGGCTAATAGGTAGTTGTGTACGTTTGAATCCGTTCAAAATATGAATATTTGTACTAATTCAAGTGAGAAAAAGCCAATATGGTCTCAATTTTATTTAATTTAAAATTGATTTTAATTGGATGTTGTCAAAGTAGTAAATATATTTGCTATGACATTCATGTTACAATGTGAATTTTTATAATAGTTATTTAGATATTTTAATTGTCTAAATTGAAATCCCAGGGTTTTTTGAGACCTTCCATTTTTAAGCCTGTCATTTAATCTTACTTGAAATGAGTCCCAATTTAAGAATTTTTTTTACTGAACAATGTATCTTGAAATAAAAACCAGGTCAATCTCTTAACAGTAACAGTGCTAACAAACATCCTCAGTGAAATACTGAGGGAATAGTTCAAATTCTGGTTGCAATTATACATTAATACCCATCTGGATATTTGGCTTGCTCTGAAGATTGACATTTGTAAAGGAGATTGCAGTATTGCTTGTGACTTTTTGTAAATAACTGGAGTGTATCTAAGTCCTCTGAAATCTGAGCCTACACAGTGATTATCAGTTTTGTGCTGGGTGGGACACGTTGAAGACTTGGGTTTTTAGGGGCTTCTACTCTGGCTAGCGAAAACCAATAGTATCGTATAAATAACTGATTCCCTAAAAAGGGAGGATGGAACCTTCTCCTCCTAACAGCATCTCTTGCTGACTGGTAGGTATGTCTACAGAGTATTGCTGATATTTTTGAAAGACTCCTACATCCTGCCTTCCCAGCTAATAGTTGGTTTGTGCAGTAGCAGGTATGTATGAGAATCCTACCAAGTTCCCCAACAAACTGAAGGCAGGAATCTTTCATTAGTTTCATATTGACTATAATACTACCTGCTGAACCAGCTACAAAGTGTAGGCAAAGATCTCAACAGCCTGCTCTAGCAGATGTTTACCCTGTAGAAACTGGATGAACTGCTAATGTGACTTTCACTAGATTAAGTATGCAGCGTGTAATATTGATGTCTAGTATGCTCCATGAAAGCTGATGAAAAGTGTCAGTGAGGTTAGGCTTTGAATTGTTGGAACAGAAAATGTACAATTTCAGGATGTTTGCCACCTACCTTAAAATATGTTACAGAAATAAACATCCAACAGTGACCCAAACATCTAACTCTGGCTAAATTTTTTCTGAGTTGATATCTGTATGTGCATTTCTCTGAACAGATTTTCCAAGATTTTGACACATTTTTAAAGTTGAATTTTTTTTCTCTAAGCTCTAATTACTAATTCATAGTAACCTCTGTTAAGGAGAGAACGTTGTGAAAGGAGAGAGAGAATCTATCCGAAATCTGTTAGAAATATTTGATGGCCTGCTTGAATATCTTACAGAACAAATCAGTGAAACGTCTTCTCGGAATGGGGGTGAGTAAATAGATTAACAAAGGTATCTCAGTTCAAGATGATATGTGCTGCTGCTGCTTATTATGATAGACTGTTTATCTTGCCTGCATACCTCCTGTGCTACTATTAAGCTACCATACTGAAGCGTAAGTTCCGCCTTCATATATACACCATTCTTTGTATGTTTAAGGATGGAATAGGCTCCTAGTATTAGATTAAGTTTGCCCTCCCCCGATTAGCAACTATATTTTTGAGGAAGCCCATAGCCATTTAGTATCATGTATGGAAAATAGACTTTGTAGACTTGTTCTTACAATACCTAAGATGAACAGGAGTGTTTGCAATTAAGCAGGTTTTTGCTGGGATTTAAAACTTTGCTTGCAATGTTTGTAATCCAAACATTGCAGGAAAGCAAGGGATTGAAACTGATCATAAATAGAAGTGGAACTTAATCTATTTTCATTTCCCAAGTTTTGTACTTATTGTTCCATTTCGTTCAGTAATCCTGGTGAACAGAAAGTTTGGATTTAAAATCTTTTAGTTTCGGTAATATACGGTAATAAAAGGTGAAGCCTTTTTTTAAAAAAAAAGGGCTCCTTTAACATGGCTCTCTTGTGGCAGAAACCATCTCCTAACAACTTTATGAATTAGTGTGAAAGTGTTAACATTTTCTCTAAACTTACCACTGAAGCTTCTATTGAATAAGGTGCATGTGGAAGTTGTTATATTAATATAAACTGTACTGTTAAACCAAAATATACAAACCTGTTCAGTATGACAGTTTGATAGTATGTTAAGTCTAAAATTGCCATTTCTGTCAAATTATTTCTTGTGATACAGGCAGTAATACCCATCCTGTGTGTGTGGTTTTTCTTGAAATTAACAAATGAATTTTGATTATAAACAGATGAACCTGACCAGCTAGCTAACAATGAAATTCAAAGGGTGCTTCAAGAGCAGCTGGAAGGTGACCTGAAGGAACCTGTGCCACCTCTGAAACTTCCATCAGTTGCCGAGTAAGACTGGTTCTGAATGTTTTAAAGTTGGCACAGTGACTGTATTTTTACATATCTATAAAGTGTCTAGCATGTTCATACAATGCAAATAAAAAAAACATACTTAGTAAAAGCATCAAATGGAATGCTTGGTCATCTTTGGGGAGCAAGAGATCTAAAATTTGGATCAAGTATGTGTTTGCATTGCAAACCCTTAGACAACTTGCAGTTTTAAAATTTTTTAATCCACCTTTAATGGTGAATCTGTACAGTATTGAGTTATGTTCCAAACTTCCATTGTCATCTCAGTGCATGCTTTTTAATTTAAATTGCTGAGGCTTAGTTAATCAATTGTACTACATTTATTTTCATGATTTTTTTTTTAAATTAGCTTACTTTGAAACTGATCATACTCCTCTAAAAAGTAAAGGCCAGCTAACTGAAGATGTAGAGTTAGGATTCATCTGCAGCTCCATCTTGTGGCCTAGGCAAGCAAAGACTGTTATTGCTAATAGATCTGCTGTGTTGTGTTCCTCTTAGGTCTTCCCCGTCAGATATTTTTGTCCCATCTTGGGAGGTAGAAGGATCAGAATCTACTAGTGAATTAATCAGGCTTGGGGACACTGCACATTCATTTTCTCTAAGAAAGGAAGGTGAGTTTAAAATATACCTTTAAGAGTGTTCTATATGGACATGTACTCTTCTAGCAATCAAACATACGCTGTCAAAAGTGCTTAGTATTTTTAAATGTATGAAGGGAGTGGGGAACATGCTTGTAAAGCAAAAGGCTTATAGCTCCTTTTGTTTTGAAGGTTCCCTAATGTTTCAGCTTGTATATGGTTAGCACAACTGAGATGAAGCCACCTCTGGGGCAGATAGGGAAAGTCAACTGGCATAAAGTACCCTGCATAACTGTAGGTCGGAGAAAACCTAGGTCAGGAGAAATCTTTACTCTTACAAGTAACACCAGTGGATTTTGAATAATTGCCAATAGCAGATGGATACTCTTATATTATAGTTCTTATTTCACAGATGGAACTGCATGGTACCCAGTGTACTTATGTCAAGATAAGGTGATCCTGCTGAGATGGAAACATCTGGTTCCCTAGAGTTTAGGGGTTTCAAACCTGATTTAGAGTTGACCATTATCTATCCCTTCCGGTTGAGGGTTTTGTCTAAAAAAGGACTACATAGCAAAACAGTGTGAATTAGACCCAGTTCACGAGGACATGAAAGCATAACTGGATGGCCTCAGACTATCACAGTATGAAATGTAAAATTGTAACAATGTTGCTTCAAGACACAATATGTAAACCTAGTAATGAATTATTCTTTAAGCTTACTTACAGCAAACAGTTGGTAGGAGTCTGGGCAATTCAGAAACATTCTTTAAGGGAACCAGATGGCTTAGGGAATTGGTAATAGGAGCCACTTAAATTGGGCTCATTCTGAACACCAATAGGATTTTTGTTGATAATTTCCTTTGCAAAGCGAAGGACTGAATGGGTACTGAGGCTGACTTATCTTTCCCCTACAATAGTAGCTGAGCAAATCTGTGAGTAAAAGTTTTGTAGCATACTGTGATGGATAAATACAATTCCTAGAAGTATTACTACTTCCCCCTGCAACATTCTGCTGTCCCTATAGCAGTGAAGAGCATCAACTGCTAGTTACTAATTCAGTCCAATATGAACACTGTCTAAACACAGAGCCAATAGTAAAAATGCATTTAATTATTTAAACATAAGTTTAACCTACTTTCAAAAATCATTTCCAGAGTTCCAGCTCCCTGAAATGTTGCCGGCAGAGAGAGAGAGGTCTAAGGAGATCAAGGAACCTGAAGACTCTGGGGCTACTGTGGCATCATCTACTCAGCTTTCCGGCAGCAGAAGAGCACTTGTAAAAGAGAGGGAAGGTGAGTGAAATTCTGACTTTCTGAGAAGTACCTTAGAAATTCTTTAGCCTTCCTAGTTCTGTTGGCAGTAATCCTCACAGCCATGGATTTGAGACTAGGAATACAGTAGCTGACAAAAGAAGGCTTCTTATTTTTTTATCTAGAGTTACTTCTATAAGTAGTTCTTGTCCTTTCTTCCTTATTTCAGTTTTGGAGGAAATTTGAATGGTCAGACACCTGATAAATCAGAAAACGCAGATGTTCATATGACTGTTCAACTAACTTAATGCTAAATTATCAAATCAGTTCTTCTCTCTAATTAGTTTCTCACACCCAAAATCCAAATTCTGCAGCATGCAACAAAGATGGAAGTTACTGTCAATGTCTCTTATGTGTACTAAACTCTAAAATGATTGAGGAGTAACATGCTTATTCAAAGATGATGCTGAATGAAAGTGTCCAGCTGGCATTTTTGTTAAATGGATTAATTGAGACTATAAACTTTGCATATTTGTCTTTAAGGATCAATGGATTCTGTTAATTCCACTGAATTTCTCAAAGAGAGTTTGAGTTCCAGTGCTAAAAAACTTGGGGAGCCCATACGCCCAGCTATTCCTTTGCAACCACCATATCAGCCTCCTGAACCCAGGTCTCATTATTCAATGGGAAGGGAATACCAAAGCTCAGCCAGACAGTCCCCAGGTTCGGCTAACAGTCATGGACTTGAAGCTTCTGTTGTAAGTGAAAACCTCTTACTTGGTTTTATTAGTAAATATCTTCAGCTTTTCTCTATTGCATTTCTAGAATGGAATTAATGAGTTATGTATCTGGACTGTATCTCCAAATGGATTATTAATCTATGGCCTTGTCAAAACATTCCTATTCAGCAGGAAGAATACTGAATTGTTAATTTAATATGCATTTTTACTTCTCTTCGCAGTTTACAGAACCACTTAGACAGGAGTCAACTACTTCTGATACTGTTCCTCTGTCGAGACTCGCCCCTGGTAAGAACAAGTTGTGCTTCATATTAACTGTTTCTAATGGAGTGCTAAATATTGGTGCTTGTTGTTTTGAATTCATCTTATTGGCATTGGGGGAAACATTGTTTTGAAAACCTTAATCTGTGTTTTGCTGTTCAAACCTTACTAAATTCACATTTCTTAACAGATGTGAGCAAATCACTTCTATCACAATGTCTGCCAGGGGAGTGAAAATAGGTCATAGTCAAAGAGGATTTATTGTGCTGAGAAGTAAAGTGTGTCCATTGCTCTACTGTTTTTTTCCCTTTCCCTTCCCTTCCCCCCCCTCCAGTTAATCCATTTAAGCTTTGTCTGTTTTACAGAAACTCAGTAACAAAAGGTGCAGCTGACCTGGTGCAGAATAAACTAACTATGAATGTAGCCTAAGACAAACTGTTAATCCATTCCAGAAAGCATGGTTAAACCCTCCTAGTATATACAAGACTTCATTTTAAGTGCTTATTTTCTAACTTCTCTGTTGCCTTGGAGACACTGGCTACTTTTCCAGTTTCCATAGCATCACCCTCTCAGATGACAGTCCTGAAAATTCAAAGCCTACAAGAAATTCTCCTTAAATTTAAAAAATAAAAATAAAAATCCATGTGTACATGCCATAACTGAATAGCCACACACCTAATTACGGTCTTCCTTCCCCTATTGTTTTACACTTCTTTTGACAAATAGTTCGTAAGCTCTTTGAGCCAGGGTCCATGCCTTTTTGTATTTGTTCTGTAAATCACTAACTACACTTGAGTGCTATGTAGAGAATAAATAATCCAGTAAACACTGCTGTTTCTTTTGCCAGTTTCTCCAGTTGGAGATAAGGCAGTGTCAAAAGATGTGCGAAACGGCACAGATGATGTGGCTAAGGTAACTATGACTTTCCACTATTTGTAAAATCAATATATGTTTTAGGCAGAGTTGCTGTAAACCTGCATACATGGAATTTCCCTACAATTGTGCAGGGGATTTTTGGTATTCCTACTACCTTGCAGAAATGAAGCTTTCCTCTTAAACTTGTTGCTGCTTTTCTTTTCAAAACCTTGTGAATGTGACCTGATGCAGTGTTGACTTGGTGTGTCTACAGGCAGATTGTAAACTACACTAGTCATTTCCCAATGGGATGTTAGCACTTCCTGATGATGTAAACACTGACATATTTATATTGTTGACCAGTTCAGCAAAAGCACCCAGCTACTACATATCAGCTGGATTTATCTAAAGATGTTTGGGAAGAATATTTTAACTTCCTCGTTGCCTAGTATCTTACGATATTGGTCACACCCCAGAGTCGGGTATCTCCAGAAAAATGTGACTTGCCTGGGTTTCAACAGAGGATTTGCCTCAGTCAGCGACCTAGCCAGACTACTTCCTCCTCCTTTCTGTCCTTGCATTTGCCCTTTGGAACAACTGGATAATTCAGAAGCCACAAACTGGTTAGCAGATTTCATTCCACTCAAAGGGCCTGCTGGGGAGCAGGTCCTTAGGAAACTAGCTGAGCAGGAGAAGTTTACTTGCTCCATAAAGCACTTCTTGGCTGGTTGATCACCAAAAATGGCTGAAGCCATTGTGGGGCTGACCTACTACTTGGCAACATGAGAAGATAAGCTTTGATGGGAGGTGAATAGGACTTTCAGAATATAGTGGATTTCACTTCTAACTTAACCAACAAACCTTTGTTTTTAGTCTTACTATAACCAGATCAGCCAACTTAACATTGCAGTTCTAGGCTTTTACCTTCGGCTACGACAAGGGTTACTTGCAGGACAGTGAGTAGGTTTTACAGTGGAATTAAAAACCTGTGGCTGGCCTATGCCCATTGACTCAGGCTTATGGGGCGCAGGCTAAGAGGCTGTTTAATGGCAATGTAGAGAGGTGGGAGGGTCCCAGAACTTGGACATCTACACGACAGTTAAACAGCCCCTCAGCCCAAGCCCCGCAGGCCCAAGCCAGCTGTCATAGACATAACCTTAGTCTCTGGACTCTTCCCAAAGCAGTCTATAACTCTTCCCTTCACGCTGCTGTGGCTGAGCAAAAGGAGAAGGTAATGAACTTAGATACATGCTGATCAGTGCACTAAACATTGATAGCCAATCAGTTTTTTTTTTCCCCTTTATAAGTGGAAAAGCTCTTGTGCCAGGCTGTCAGTCTACAGACTATTTGCTGTAAGATGTATGTCTGGCTAGTGGTCTGGACTAGTCTGGTTAGTGGTAAATGATGCAACTACTTGCCACCAAGAGGATATAGACAACAGCTAGATGTTGTGGTAATATGAACCTATTATCTGCCACTGATTAAAGGCAGATAACATCTGCTGACTTTTCATGTCTCAAACTTTCTAATAAAGTGAAACACGTTCTTAAATGTGCTCAAAATATGATTGCAAGTCAGAGGTCCACTGGGTATTTTGAGCTGGAATATGCTTGTGGGCTCTGCAAGCCTCCTTAATTGTGGCAGGAGAGGGAATAAATGGTGGTCCTATCCCAAATACCATCCACTTGGGGCATCAAAATGAGACCTCACTCACGGTGAATGCTGCAGCTATGAGATCCCTCTCTTGTGTTGGTTAGGGAAGAACTAGGAAATGTTGTTGACACTTAACTCAGAGATCCAGTGATCATTTAGGAGTTGCAGAGATGAATGGGGAAGTTTACAGCTCTCAGCTACTGTTTGAGGCTGAGTAGAAATCTCTCCATTAGATGCCTTATGTTCACATTTGAGATTATTTGTAACCCTAAGAGATAAATGAATCCAACTTGTGTGGGGATTTCTAACTAAACTGATTAACTTAATTTGGTGCACCTATTATGCATAAACAAGCCCTAAACTTCTATCTGTTTAAAACTGGTTATGTTGGTTTAGATTGCATCTGTAAATTTATTGACGCAAGCTAAACCGCTGAAAACCAGGTTTAAACAGGAGTGACACTTTCACCAGTTTACCGAGATTGGTATAAATGACACTTGGTTAAACCAGTAGGAAGCTGTAGGTCAGGCTTTTTAAATAGGGGCTGAAGTTCTTGATAAGATAGCAGTATGGCATACTGCTATGTCTCTGACTCTATATACCTACTCAGTCTGAGCCCTAAGTTAGTTCTGTTGTGGTCTCAATGGTTAATTGTTGAATAAACTTTTGTGTTGTTGAGGATTAAGTGAATAGCCTCTTTATGTGCTTTGGAATTAGTTGTTCCAATAAACAAATATTTCAAATGTCAAGAAATCACTTCTCTAGCTCTTGTCCGATGGTGACACTTGACCAGATTATGTGGGTACTTGAAGTCTCCCAGTATTTCAGTTTTATTAGACTTAACTGCCTTTTTGACTTGATTTAACACTGACACTCAACACCCTTTTCCTGAGCAGGAGGCTGGCAGTATAACTCTATCATCTGATTTTATGATTTGAGATGTCTGTTCATACAGACTCTCGTAGGTGGTCTTCTTCATGCCAGAAATTTGCTGCATAATCTACGGAACCTTTGAGCCTTTCACTGAAAGTTCATAATTTGATCTTGTCTCCTCCCTTCTCTAATAGGCTCTTGATGTGGATGCCTCACATACATCAACTATCTGCTTACACCAAGACATCTCACCAGGCACTGACCAGGTAATATCAGTAGCACGAATCACAAAACCTGAAACAAGAAGTCCGTCTAGTGGAAAAAGGTAAGTCAGGTTTTTTTATACTGAAGGAGTAGCTGAGGCTTTCACTGCTCGCTTTCTTAAACAGGGCCATTCACTTCTTGGCTGCTGCTCAGAATCCAGCCTAGGTAACAACCAAAGCTGGTTGGTGCTAGTAGCAGAGTGAGAGGTGTAGACTTAGGTGAAGATCTAGAATATCTTTATTCCCTTTAACAGTGGCCTTTTAACTCAGATCTTTCTTCTTACAGAGAAACCCATTTCTAAAACAGATGCAAATAAAATATTTTGTAAGAATCTGTTCTTGGTATCTTGTTAGGGGGAAAAATGTTCCAAATACTCCTAAAAAGGCTTGAGCAGCCAGAGGAGGCTGGGACTTCTGATTCTTATAAACACTCACTGTACAACTAGGGGAAATACTGCTATAAATGCTTAGGTGAATTCTGTCTCACAAGATCTGTTTCTATATAATTTTCTAATCCCATTTAAAACAAAAAAGGTGAACTGAGTTCTGGATCTGTTAAGTAATGGTAACCTTTGACCATGAATCTTTGTTGAGACAAAAATGAAACCTTAGTGGTACGTGTCCGGGTTTTTTTTAAACAAAACCTTTCTTTTTTAGCAGATATGAAAATTTTATCACAAATTCATTTGGAGAGGAGCCCCTTTCCTGCAGAAGGGCAAAGGATAAATTATCTGAGCAAGAGCTGCATGAAATGTCAGAAAAACTCTCTCGCAGGTTAAATGAACTAGATTTAGTAAGTGGGAATCCATTCTTGATAGTATTTTGGAATTTATCTAGCATTTGTAACAAGTGTATGAAGCCTAACTAAAATCTAGGGAATCAGGTCAATCTTGGTAGGATTAACAGATATATTAATTTCTAAAGGAACTTAAACACCTAAACTGTATTCAATGTAAAAGAATGGAAGATGCTGCAGAAATAATCTTAAAGAAAATGAGTTATTTCATCTTGGATTAGAGAAATGTTGGTGACAGTGCAAAATATGCATTAATAGTCACTTAATAAAATACTACTGCTTGGTTCAGGAGAAATACTAGGATTACTAATGGTTGGATATTACACAATAGTGTAGTTTATACTGACATTCTGAAATTCTTGTACCACTGTTAAATCTATAGTAGTATGTCTTTTTTTTGCTTAGCTTGATATTTCTTCAATGTGTTTCTATTTAAATTCCCAGTGAAATTCAGAAGGTGAGTTCAATATACAACAGAACTGAAAGGAAATCTACAACTAGTACCTCTAATTTTGTTAAACAATTCTAGACTTTATTAGGATGAACTAATGAAACTGACTAGAATAATCTCTAATCAATAGATGTTAAAGAGAGCTTTGGGTGAGCATCCCAGGGAAGAGATGTTGACAGATGAAGATAAACTGTCTCAGCACAGTGACAGTGTAATGGATTATCGGGGAAGGAAACCTCACCAAGGTAACAATCCAGAGTGTAACTGTTTAAGCACTGAGTGAAGTACAAGTAAAGCTTTCCTTCTCACTTAAAGTTGAAAGTAGAACATAGATTCAGAAGCCTAGCTTCAGCCCTAGATTTATATCATTGGGTGACCTGCCCAAAAATATAAAATCCTGTTAGTAAAGTGTTAACTAAACACCACACGTAAACAGTTATCAAAGCTTCACTAGAAATAAAAAGTGAAGTACACAGAGTAACAAATGAGCGAAGTTCAGAATGCTACTCTTGACCATACTGTGAGGGAGGGAAGTACTGAAAAATGGGTCTGTTACCTTCCTATAACACACTATAGATGTCCAGTTCTAATATATAACAGTGTTACATCCCTTGTCTTTAACTTGTGATAATCATATTATGTAACAATGTACACTGAGAAGGGTTGTAACACTGTTATATGGCTTGATCCAGTCTACAGGTGCTAGACCAAACCATGTTATAACATAGCTCTGACACTGTCAACTTCCATAGCAGGCCCTAACATTGAACCTTCTTAAAATACATTTTTGCTGCCTTTTTCTTCCAATTGTGATATCTTCTGGCACTTCTGACTTGCTAAATACATAATTATGGTACGAGCCAGGAGGCTTGGGACAGAGGACTATAAAATAAGGGTATTTGTTTTTAAAAATTACTTTCTTTGCAGAATGCTCCCGTTTAACTATTGGAACATTTGGCACGCTTCTGGATTTAAGTCTATTCACCCTTATAGTTTTTGTTGCTAACTTCTGATACTAGTTATAACAGCATTCGCATCTTTATTTCACAGCTACCCCACATCCCAAAAGATTTCTTAGCAGACCACGGTCCCTTTCTCCATCCCCACCCTCATCCAGGTATCTACCTCGCTCTGAGTTTGAAGATGCACTTCAGAGAGATGCCAGAGGCCAGATGGGGAAAATGCGCAGGCAATTGCAAAAGGAAATGGACCAGAGAAGAATAAAAGCAAAGGTAACTGTTTCTGGGTTGCATTAGAGCTGAATGCCTCTACAGCCTGGTTAGTGGGGCATTTGGCCTATTTTGGGAATTAATTTTATTTTCAGTTTACAGTTGTCCTACTAAGAGGCTGGGTGTAGCAAAGATACAGGCATTAACTCAGCACCTGTGCAGCACTGCCTCTTGCATTTAACACCTACAGCAGTGTGAGCTGTATGCGGAATAGGGAAAACTGGGAACCAAAGGATCTTCACTGTCCATTTACTGCTAACTGACACCATAGTTCTAAGATGTCAATCCTGGTGTACCACAGTAGCCAAAATGAACTTGCTAAAATTGCTTGAGGCTTAATGTTCAGCCCAGTACCTTGGGAAATGTTATCAAACTGTCTAAATTATCCTGGATGACTGAATTTTGCTTACTATTTACAGTCCATGGTTTAGGATTCCCCTACATGAAACTTTTTGCCAGCAATGGACATGCATGAACAAGTGGGTTATGGCTCACTTCCCCTTCTGGGGTAAACACCTCTGCTGTACAGTCCTTTGTCTGGGTGAACATCTCTTCCTTTTCTCAGGGGTTCACAATTCACATAGGGCTCTCCTAGTTCTTTGCTCAGTTCTTCTCCAGCCTTTGTCCACAGGCTTGTCCCTTAAGCCCATTCTGCTTAGCAAGATCTAGTCTAGGGGTTGGCAACCTTTTGGAAGTGGTGTGCAGAGTCTTCATTTATTCACTTTAATTTAAGGTTTTGTGCGCCAATAGTACAGTTTAACGTTTTTTAGAAGGTCTCTCGCTATAAGTCTATATATTATATAACTAAACTATTATCATATGTAAACAAGGTTTTCAGAATGTTTAAGAAGCTTCATTTAAAATTAAATTAAAATACTGCTCTTACGCTGCTGGCCTGGGGCTCCGTTCATCTAGGCTGGCAGCAGGCTGAGCGGGGCCTGCGGCCGGGACCCTGTCTGGCAAGGGGCTGGCAGCCAGAACTCCCGACCGGCAGTGGGCTGAGCGGCTCAGCCCGCTGCTGGTCTGGGGGTCCGTCTGCTGGCTCCTGCCAGCCAGGGTCCTGGCTGCCGGCCCTGCTCAGCCCCGCTGCTGGTCTGGGGTCCTGGCCCTGTCCATATAGAGTAGGTACCTACCTTCTCCCTGGTTCTAGCCATGCTCTTCCTCTCTTTGCACTGAGATGAGGGTGGGAGTGCACTGAGCACTGGGCTGGGGGTGAAGGCGCAGGTTGGGGTGCAGGGTCTGGCCAGGAGCTAGAATGAGGGAGGGGGCTCAGGGTTGGGGCAGGAGGTTTGGGTGTAGAGCATTTACCGAGGCAGCTCCCATTTGGTGTGAGGGGTGCAGGTGGGAGAGTGTGTGCGCGCGCAGAAACTCCTGTTTGGTGCTCGGGGTGAGGGTGGGGATGTGGGGGGTGTAAGAATTGGGACATGGGGGGCTGGGGGTGTGTGAGTAGGGTGCAGGAGTCAAGGTGGGGGGGCTGGGTATTTGTGGGGGGTGCCAGAGTCAGGGCTAGGGTGTGTGGGGGTGCAGAGGTCAGGGCAGAGGGCTGGCGTTGTGGGGGTGCTCCCAGCCCCCACCCTGAGCAGCTCACGGCAGGGGGCTGGAGGGATATACTGATTCCACCCCCAAGGTTGCTGGAGCAGAGTGTGCGAGCGCACTGCGGCTCCACTTTTCCCTCTCCCCTTCTGTAGCAAGGGCCACCAGCTGATCAGCTGCAGGGAGGGAGGGGCAGGAACCCAGCATGCTGGTGGAAGAGGCAGGGGGGAGGGGGAAGCTTGCCTGCCTTGCAAGGAGAGAGCGGGGGGGCGGAGAAGAGCGTGCTGGGCTGGGCAGGATTTTTAATGGCATGCTGCTGTCTGCTGGAGTCCCCAGCAGACAGCAGTGTGCCATTAAAAATTGGCTTGCGTGCTATAGGTTGCTGACCCCTGATCTAGTCCTTCCCTAATTTCCTCTTTGGCAGAGATGCTCACAGCACCTCCTGACATCATTGGGCACATTGAGGAAAGTAGGCCTTCTATATGTCCATCATGCCTTCTTTGCAGCCTATAGTTTTCATGATTGCTGGACTACAAGTCCCAGAATCCCTCATCTTTGGCAGAGGCCAAGTCACATGAGTGAGCAGAACTTTAATCCTCTCAGAGGCCCAAGCTTATCGTGTAATGGAGTAGCTTCAGAATTCTCATTCTTAAGAAATGTGAGCCCAAAATTAATATCCCCAATGGGCAACCCAAAATACTGACTACCCCAATGAAGAGCACAGTTTATAGATGCCTAGGTGGAGAAGAGCTTAATCCTTTCATGGTTTATCTACATTACAAAAACAGTTATTGAACATCTTGTGTTAAGCTAAGCTATATTTTGAGGTCTAAGCTTTGTGTGGGACAGTTAATACTGATCATGAATATTTACAACAGAAGTAACTTTATATTTGGCAAATCTTTTTCACTGGAGATACTATTGCATGACCTTTAGCTGTAGCTAATCAAACTGACCTTGCGCTCTGATGCTGATGGCTGTGCATAGGACACGTTTTACAGTTTTATATGGCCACCCCTCAGACTGTCTATTTTACATTGAAAATGCTCAATGTCCCTAAAGAATTTCATAAAGTCTCTAGCTTACCTTCTTTGGGGTATAAGTTCTGTTTGGGGTAGGGTAACCTTTTAGTTTGATTTTTATTTCAGGTTTTTTGAGGGCCATTATTATGGTGGAAAGTGTTTTTTGTAGATCAAAGTTTTGCATTTCCTAAAGCCTGTTTGATTGTAAAGTCACCTGATCTCATGGAAGTTGGTTCCATATGTGGATCCTCTTGATGGAGAATGCTTTGTCCCAGAGGAATGCAACTGTCTTGACAATTCTTAGATCAAAAATCCAGTGTTCAATGAGGCTGGGGCTTGATCCATAAATTGTTTTGAAGGGAGCCAGTTGAGGAACTTGAGCACCAGTCTGTTCTCATGGTGACCTAGTCCATGGATAACAAGAGCAATTTTTTTGTTTTAAACAGTTTGTGCATCTTCACATTCATCTTGAGTTAATTACAGTAACTCACACTGGAGATAAATGCATAAACCACTGTGGCCAGGTCCATGTCCGGGAAGAAGGGATAAAGCTTCCTAGTGAGCTAGAGGTGAAAGAAGCCCTTTTGACTCCAACACTAATTGGTTTCATTTATGTGACTTCTTTTGGACTGATTGTCCCCTTTGCAGAGAGTAGAAATTCAAAATGAGTGTCTTCTTTTGTTTTCTAGCTAATGACTAAAGCCTATGAAGAGGAATTAAGAATTTTTGAAGCTAGAGAGAAACTGGGCCTCTTCAAGCTAAAAGCAAAAGCCAGGGAAACGGTAGGTGAAGCTTACAAGAATAAATTAGATGTTTGTTTAAAAAAGTCTAAAAGTTACTCTACCCATGCCTGCTATCCATGTTACATGGATGATGCTTTTAAATGACATGACCCAATGCTGACCCTGGCTTCTATACTAGTGTAATAGATGCTGTAAACAGCTTTGTTCAGCTACACTACTTTGTGGATATGGTTAGCAGTATGTAATTTTCTAAGGGTACATAGACCCCAAGGTGGGGAGGGATTTAGGTAGTTAGTAATCCTTACAGAAACATCTCTGAGGGGTTGCACAAGGACCAAGATTCTGGTATTAAGTTTGTCCTGTAGTGAGATACTTTGGCTGGAAGAATTTAAGCCAGCCTGGTAGGCAAGTGGCTAGTTTGTACTGCAGTATTGGAGAATAAGATTTAATAACTTAACACCATTTGGTAGACTGGAAATTCCACAGAAGCAATACTAGTGCCTTGCATAGCTGAAGTAATTGCCTCAAAAGAAACAAGTAGTGAGGGATGTGCAAGGACACCAGGAGAACTCTAGTAAGGAAATGGATTTTTCCCCTAACTCTTGAAGCATTTTTTTTATTTCTTTGCTATTAGAATTAGAGCTGTCAGGGTACAAGCTGTAAGTGCCAAACTGCATTATTGTTTGCCTTTATGGAGCTCTTGCTATGATCATCTTAGATAAGTGAGTAGCATGGAGCTGACAGTGGTTCTCACCACTATTTTACGTGCTGCTGGTGTGTAGCAAGAAAAGGGAGCATGACTGGAATGCCTGTATGCCATGCCAATCTGAGCTGTATTTTCAGTCCTGGGGGCCATTGCAGCCATTCATGGAGCACCCCCACAATTAGGGTTGTGCAAAGGAGAGCTTCAAGCCTCCATTGCACACCATCCTCTGACCTGCATTTGGTGAATTTTTGGCCCTACTGTGAGGGATCTGCCTCACTGTGTGCAAACTGCCTTCATAGAGACTCAAACACTACTTCAGTTCTGATATCGAAGCCATATGAACTACCACTCTTCCCATCCCATACCTGTTCTCCATCTGTTTTACATCCTAAGGAACAAGAATACCAAGAAAACATCTTTAAAGAACCTCCAAAAATGCCTCAGCCAGTGAAAGTTTATTCTAGAAAAACCACACCTCGGATTCCCAAACAGAGCCAGTGGATTCCAAGAGGAGGGCTTGCAAAGCCAAAGAAAGCAGCTCAGAGTAAGAACCACAAAACTCTACTTGGTGGAAAACTGGCATCCTGTGAAAGCATCTGGTGAACTCCAAGAATAAAGGCATCTGGCCAACATATACCAGTCAGCTGTAGCATTTTTTCCCCTTATGACCTCCAGATGTCTGGATTTTTGTAATGAAGATAATGCTTTGAAATAGACACAAACCACTGATGCACAGCTCAAACTGTGACCCATCCATTATCCATTGTTCAGCATGCTGAACAAGTTGCAATGGAAGCAGTGAGTGCAAGCCACATTTTTAGCAGCTGCATGCTGTACATTCATTATATAAATCCACAATCTGAATGGCACCCTGCTACACTGCCTTGGTTTCAGCATGGTTGCAGGGCACTCTTTCCATTAATAAGTGCCCAAGTATTCATAGATAGTAAGGTCAGAAGGGACCATTATGATCATCTAGTCTGACCTCCTGCAACAACACAGGCCACAGGATCTCACCCACCCACTCTGCAAAAAATCTCACCTCTCTCTGAGCTATTGAAGTCCTCAAATCATAGCTTAAAGACTTCAAGGAGCAGAGAATCCTCCAGCAAGTGACCTGTGCCCCATGCTACAGAGGAAGGCGAAAAACCTCCAGGGCCTCTTCCAATCTGCCCTGGAGGAAAATTCCTTCCTGCCCCAAATATGGCAATCAGCTAAACCCTGAGCATATGGGCAAGATTCACCAGCCAGATACTACAGAAAATTCTTTCCTGGGTAACTCGGATCCCACCCCATCTAACATCCCATCAGGCCTATTTACCATGAATATTTAAAGATCAATTAATTACCAAAATCATGTTATCCCATCATACCATCTCCTCCATAAACTTATCGAGTTTAATCTTAAAGCCAGATAGATCTTTTGCCCCCACTGCTTCCCTTGGAAGGCTATTCCAAAACTTCACTCCTCTGATGGTTAGAAACCTTCATCTAATTTCAAGTTTAAACTTCCTGGTGGCCAGTTTATATCCATTTGTTCTTGTGTCCACATTGGTACTGAGCTTCAATAATTCCTCTCCTGTATTTATCCCTCTTTCATCTCACATTCAGATCAACCTGTGATAAAGTTGAAATGTGAAAGAACTGACTCAAATCAATCCCTAATTAGGACATTACTCCTGTCCTGGGGCCTACTACCTCAATGCAGTATTTCCAAGGAATTTGAGGAGGATCCAGACAATGATTTGCTTCATTTATGAAATATAGGGCCATCACCAATACAACTTTTGGGCTTATTTTAAATAACTACATGCAGCCAGTGAGATTGACAGGAGCAAGGAAATAATTGTAGGGTTCTATACTGCTTGAAAAGAAAGGGGTAGGTGACCAGGCTTTTTTAAAAATATCAACCCTCTAATACTGTAAAATAGATCTCTAGGAAAAATAGCTAAGATTGTCTTAGGACTGTTCCCTTGGGGATGTTGTGAAGGACTGCAATACATCCTACTGAGGAACAATGCTACATCATAGTAACAGCATGTTAAATAGACAAGGTGTTCAGTCTGAAGTGTTCGCATAGCTAGAACTTAAGCTCTCTGGAAGAACTACTACTAAACTTGCTCTCTAGGAGCGTATTGATCTGCTTTTATCTTGCAGTGAAAGTAAAGGACAATGACCTCCTGCCTCTGCTCCTGGAAGAGTTTCCATACCTGCACATTTCCCACCACTCTTTGAACAAAATGTGGCAACAGCAGCTTGCACAGATGGAACTACTGAAGTCTGCTTCTGGCAAAGATAGATCAAGACTGAAACTCCAAAGTGAAGTGAGAACCTCTTGTTCAGTATGAACACAGTCTCTTAGGCTTGACTGAGGGCAGTGCTGCTACACAACAGTACTGGACACAGGATGATTGCACTAAGCAATAAAACCCAACCAAGTGCATAGATACCGTGTAAGGTATTGGCATAACTTAGGGACGAGTTTGTATATGTTACCTTGGAATCTATCGATTCTGAAATCTGCTTTTCTTTAAAATGGAGACTACTTTAAGGAGGCTGGAGTAGTTTGGGACTGGTTCTCTAAGCACCAGGACTATCAAGATCTCAGCTCCCTGACTTAAAAACTGAGCAGGCCCACTGTCATGTTACAAGGATGTGGGGAAGCCCATTGCTTATATTACTGCAGATGCAAACTCTACAGATTCTCTATCCCAGCTCTTTCATCTTTCAGTATTTGAATAGGTTTTCCCATGGTCTTTATTGTACAAATATATGGTATACATTTGGGTCAAACTAGCACTCAGTCCCCAGCAGAGGTGGCTGTCTAAGGAAGAGCTACTCTATAGAATAAAGAGGCACTCTTGAGTAGTTAAAGTAGGGGGACTGAATCAGGACACCTGGGTTCAGTTCCTGATCTTAACCACTCACTTGCATTTAACCTTCTGTACTACTTTCTCTACAATAAAGATGAATACTTTTTTCACCTTTGTAAAGCACTTCGAATTTCTAAGTGCTATTACATACAAACCCTGTAGTTTAAAAGCTATTCTTGGCATGCAGAATTTGCTAACTCATGGAATGGTTAATTCACCAGTGCTAAATGAATCTTTCCCCTTTCCTTTCTCAACCACTTGGGGCAGAGTACACTGAATATTTTTCCTCTGTTAAAAGTCCCATCACTGAGTGCCTATCCTGCAGAATTTATTAAAGCAATTACCTGTCATCTTTATCTCAAGGTGGAAGAAGCACTGAAGAAGCATGACCTCCTTGTTGACATCATAAAGAAAGATCAAGACCATAACAAGAGACTGGTATGTTCTTCTAAAGAGGATGCACACAGCATGAGACACTTTCATGGTGATACAGCCAAAATGATCCTACTGTTGTTGGTCCACAGAAGCTGCTCCCTATTGCCTCCTGAGCAGCTATGGTATTGAAGACTTTACCTAGTCTGTGTGTTGTATGTGGCCACTGAGGTCTTAGAATGACAGTGGGGTTGCTAAACATGCTGATGATTCACTATTTAAAGAAGCAGTTTGGTGCTTTAACAGGGAACAAATCCTGAGAATATGGAAGACTGAGAGGAACAGACCTCAGTCTCTCCTTGTGTGAGTTCAATCCTTGAAACACTAGTTTACCATAAGTGCTGATTCCTTAATTATACAGCACTGTGGATGGCACCATACTACAGTGATCTAATCCTAAATGTAGTGCAAGGTAGTAGAGTGGGGAGAATTTCCTTAATATTGATTTATTTACTAAAGCTTGCCATAAAACCCTGCCCTGACTCTTCCTCTGCAGGAAGCACTGGTGGTCTGATACCTGTTGATCTTTCTTTATTTAGCAAGAGTTTAAGCAACGCATATATCGGCAGAAGTTTGCTCAGAATAAAATGAGAGAGAAACGTCAGCAAATTGCTCGAGCCAAGAAGTACTATGAGGATTACCGCGTTCAGCTGCGTGCAAAAATGATGCGGGCTAGGACAAGGGAAGAAAGGGTATGTGAGGGTGCTTTCTTCAAGTATGGCATTCTTGTTCTCCTAGGTGAGACTCCAGTATTGAGTGAGCATCTTTCCCCCTTTACTATGTAGTGTGGAGTTAGACTTCTGAGAAATCAAAGTGTTGGTACAAAGAGTTAGAGGCCAAGTAAACTAAACAACACAGGCCTTGGAGCTCCTAGCTCCTGCCTTCTAACTCTGGCTCTGATTGATAGTTTTTCTGGCAGCAACCATCCTTGACCTTGTAGAAATTTAGAAGCTCTTGGCTCTACTCTTCTTAGAAGAAGGCAGGTGCAGGACTATACCTGCTGGTCAGCCAGGTCCTAGATGAAATGATTGTTCTCTATGTTCTGCCACACACAGTAGAGCAGCCACCTCCCACCTAAACAAAAGCTGGAGATAACTTTCACTGTCAGGCAACAAAGGAAACTACTAGGCTTAGCCACGGTTGAAAAGGAGGGTCCAGCATAGTAAAGGGTGGACATCAGAGAACTACCTGGGGAAAAAGGTTCTCTTCACAATGAGATCATAAAGCTGAGTTTAGAGGATGTTTCTATTAGTATCAAAAGTAAGGCCACCAATGTTCCTTTTAATTTTTTCCATCCATGTGTGGAATGAATTGTTATGCGCACCAATATCAAGGTGATGTGCATCACCAGGAGAAACAAAACTAGATAGAATATATATTTTTAAAAAGTTACCATAGGGATCATTACTCCAGCCAGGACAGGTTAGGCATTTTAGAACTCGCCACTCATAGAAATTTAAGTATAAGAGAAATAAAAATTATGAAATGCATAGACCAGTTAAACTAAAATAACAGCACTTTGAAAGAATAAAATTGCAGAGAATATATGTGCATTGCAGGAAGTAACAATACTATAAGTATGTGTTGGAAAGTGAGTGAAAGACACATACATAGTGTTTGTGTGAGAGAGAGACAGATACACACTGCCCCTTTAAGTAGATCAGTACTCACCAGTCTTGAAGCCTATTTTGTTCAGACATAGCAGCAGTGGTCAGGAAGCTCCATCTGAGGTCCCACTCCTAAGCCCTGTCATGTCCTCCCCACCCCCTGCTCTGCAGAGATGGGGTACAGGGGTATGAGGGGAAGGGGATACCCTGACATCAGCCCCACACACACACACACACACCCCCACCCCCCCCGCACAGCAAGCAGTAGGCTCCCAGGAGCACCTGGCCGGGGCTCCAAGGCAGAGGGCAGGAGCAGTGTGGCAATGGCACCTGAAGTGCACAGCACTTCATAGACTGCTGGGTGGCCATGCAGCTTAGAGGGAACTTAAAAGGCCACCTAAACTTTCCTTCTGAAAAATGACACCACTTCCCTCAGCCAATTAGATCCTGTTTAATGTTAAACCCACTTCATTTATCTCATTTACTATTGTACATTCAACAGCTATGGGAGAGCAAGCTGAATTCTATTCCTACTCATGCATCAGCTCATTGCAATGATGGGGGCAAATGCTGCTGTCAGTTATACCTTTAACCCTGATGAACACAGTGATGTTGAGGTGTAACAGATTCTGCCCTCTGATTAGTGGTGATTTGAGGAGAGAACTGTGCCTCAAGTTGCAGTGAGAAGTGAGACCATCTTTGTCTGTGTAAACAGCAAACTTTATATGCAATTGAGACAAACATAGAACCTCCCAATGCAATTTAGTTCTCTTTAGAATAGAACTTCCCCTCCAATGTTTAGAAGACTTTTTTAGAAGGGCCTGTAGGGGAGGTGGAACATTAAAGTAGAATCTAGGGAGTTCTTGTAACTTCAAAGATCACTTCCTAAAGTTCTGTGGCTTATATGTGCAAGCTGGATCTACACTATACATAACCCCATGGCCTAGACGTAACCTACACCAGCAGAAGGGATTTTTCCTTCGGTTATACATTTAAAAACCTTAATTATTGGCAGATATTTAAGAATCTATTTGAAGAAGGCTTAGAAATTCAGAAGCAAAGGCTGCAGGAGCTGAGAACCTATAGTAAAGAAAAGCGTGCTGAGCAAAGAAGAGTACACCAGGATGAACTAGAGTCCATGGAGAACTACTACAAGGATCAGGTAGGCTGATTTGACTGCATCCAAGACAATCTCTCCAGTTTTCAATCTTAAATTGGTAAATAACCTTTCATATCTTAATGAGTTCTAATTCAATGTTTTTACTCAGTTTTCAATGCTGGCAGAAGCTGTATCACAAGAACGTCAAGAAATCCAAGCCCGAGAGAAAGCACAAGTAAAAGTAGGTGTATTTAACTTCCAGTACAGACATGCCAAACACATGAAAAAAACATAGAAATGGGCTTCTTGGCTAGTAGAGTGTGTGTGGGTTTTTTAATCAGCTCCTGGCAAGGGGTGGCAAGAGTCATGGGCGCATAGCAGGACCACCAGTCCCAGACTGGATGCTAGGGGGATCTAGTCAGTGTTGGAGTTCTTGGGGATTGGCTTGTTTTGAAATGGGATTAGCTTGATTTTTAGCTTATTGTGAAAGTCAGGTGCTTATTTACTGTGTGAAAGTTGGCAACTGTGTCCCAGTATGCAAGTGATTTCTTGTTTGGAGTGGTTTTGGTTAATCTCAATATTCTTTTTAAGACACTGCACAAAACAAAAAAGGAGTTAAGATCAAAGATGGAAAAGGATATACAGCAGCTGCAGACTATGATAACTCAAAATGATGATGACTCCTTCTTCCAAGAGCTGGAAGCAGAACGACTGAAATCCAGACTTCAAATGGCTTCTTTTCAGTATAGCAAAAACTATTTCTTGTAAGGCATACTGACTATTAAATATCAATGCAGATTTTATGTCTGGCTAAGATACTGTTAGGGGCATGTTTGCAAATTGCCACAACCAGAAGGTGGTGGCTGGTTGTTCTGTAAAATGTCTGTCTGGCTTACACTGTGAAAAGCATAGTGTTATAGATGTAAGTGTCAGTAACAAGGACTTGAGTATTTTTAACATACCTTTTTAATAAAGTTAATTAGATGATTGTTTGAACTTAAAGGACCATTAGACTATTTCAAGCTCCCATTCAGCCTTCAGGGCAAAGTTTTTAACCCAAGTATTGCTGAAGAACAATCTGACCTACCTGTATATTGTACTTAGTACTCTCAACTTTCTAAAGGGCTGAATATGAAAATTCCTTCAGATCAGTGCTACACTGGGGCATTTTAGGCTGAATCAATGCCTTCTGAAAACTTGTGCCTGCAAAGTATGATACTAGAAATGTGGAGGCAGCTCTTAAAGCACCACTTGCTCAAATTCCTTGTGAGAGAGCAGGTCAAATAAGGGTTTCACTTAACCTTTGACATACATTTTAATGTACTGTGGTGGGGTGAGGGGGGGGGGGAGAAGCACTTCATCACACTGTGTACAGTGCTTATAGGATACATTTTACATAGGATTTAACCAGGAATATATTGTTGTAGGGTTATGACTCTTAATCGCTAGTACTAAAGGAGATTGAGGACATGATTGGGCACAAGTACTCTAACTACTTTAAACAAGCTTGTTATCTTATCCTTAATCACTCACACTTCAAAATTTAGAACACTTTTTGCTAAAGTGGTAGAAGAACTTGCAGGCTTTTAATTACTTCCTGGGTTCCACAGGAAGGTCGATTTTGTCTTTTTTGAACTTTTAATGGCCCCACAGAAATCAAGTCATTAGTAACCCACCCCACCAGCCCCCGAGTGCACGTTGCTACCCACGTCCCGCGTCCCGCGCCCATGGAATTTGGGTTGGTCCCAATGCCTGATGGGCTAAAACTTGTCGGGGTGGTTCGGTACATATCTCGCCTCCCGTTCCCCCCCCCCCGGAAAGCAAGCGACAATCTTTCCCCTTTTTCCAGTTACCTTGCAGCCCTACCTGCAAGCTCCCCCAGTAACCCCCCTATGTCTCCGGGTGGCAGCCCTTCTACACATACCACCCCTGTTGGCACAGGACATACCCCGTGGGGCCCTGGTCCCGTGGGTCGATCAGGAGCGCAGAAGGCAGGGACAAATTTGGGTGCTTCCAGTCTTCTCTTTAGTCATCGTCCTATTGAACTCTTATGGTGGGGGTATGCGTCGTGCTTACCTTTCTGCCGAGAGTCATGAGATGTGGATCCTCCGTGTCAGCCAAAGATGTAAAAGATAGATGGAGTGGGTCAAAACAAGAAATAGACCAGATTTGTTTTGTACTCATTTGTTCCCCCCCTCCCCTGTCTAGGGGACCATTCTTCTAGATCACACTGCAGTCAAGGTGCAGCGAGGTAAATCTAGCCATTATCAATCAGAGGCCAGCTAACCTTCTTGCTCCAATAAGGACAATAACTTAGGTGCACCATTTCTTATTGGAACCCTCTGTGAAGTCCTGCCTGAAATACTCCTTGATGTAAAGCCACCCCCTTTGTTGATTTTAGCTCCCTGAAGCCAACCCTGTAAGCCCCCCCCAGCAGAGCAATGGCAAACAATCGGGCATCTGAGAGTGCTGTCCAGAGCAGTCACAATGGAGCGCTCTGATGGGGCTAAAACATTGTCGCGGGTGGTTCTGGGTACGTGTCGTCAGGCCCCCGTTCCCTCCCTCCCTCCGTGAAAGCAAGGGCAGACAATCATTTCGCCTTTTTTCCTGAGTTTTTTTTTTTTTTTTTTTTTTTTTTTTTTTTCTTTTTTGTTTTTTTTTTTATTTTTTTTTCTTTCCCCGTATTTATCTTCCTTTTTTCTTTTACCCTTTTTTTTTCCTCCTTTTTTTTTTTTTTTTTCCTTTTTATTTTTTCATATCCGATTTTTTTTCTTATATTTTTTTTTTTATTTCTTTTTTTGGTAGGGGGGGTGTTTTTAACGGGGGTATAATTTAATTGTTAAATTTGTTTGTTTTCTTATAACCCCCGCCCTTGTTCCTCTACTTCCCTGTACACACCTCCCCTCCTCCCTTTAATCATTTTCCCATAAATCATTTTTACTTTTTATTTTTAAATAGGGGGCTACAGGTATCCAGGAGGGGTGGTGGGGGGGAAAATCACAATTTAGCAATTAAAAGTTTAAATTAAAATTTATTGAAGAAGTTTTTTTTGGGAATTCTGGGGGAGTGGCTGACCCCCACTTTTTGGGGTCTGGGTGTGGAGGCTATGGAATTGGGGGGAGGGTTGGTTACAGAGGGGTGAATGTCTCCAGTGCCTTTGTCACTCAACATACAAGATATGGTTTGGTCCTCAGCCCAGCATTAATCCCTTTCATCATCATTTATTGCCCTTTTAATATTCTTCCACTTATCTTTATCCCCCTCCTCATTTTGGTTCTACTGACATTATTTGCTCCAGTTTGTGTAGTGTGGGAAAAGAAATTATAGTGTTTTTTTTTTTCTAAGCTTCACTAGCTCTGGGAAGGAAGATCCTTATTTGAAAAAATTGGAAAAAAGGGAGTATTTAAAAGAAATTTTATAAAAAGTACACTCTTTCATAAACCTTGAAAGTAAATTAATACATAAATTTTTAATATTTTCCCAGTAGGATTTTGTTGCAAAAATAAAATTTTTTAAGTTTCCCCAGTATGTTGTCCTGAGTTAAAGTCCAAAAGAAATAAGTCCGAAACTTTGCAAAGAGAAAATCACAAATAATCCTTTCACATGCTTGCTTTTAAACATGTATAGATTTTAAAGGTACACTCACAGAGGTCCCTTCTCCGCCTGGAGTCCAGGAGGCAGCCTTGGGTGGGTTCGGGGGTATCTCCAGGTCTAGGGTGGAAAAGTTCCTGGTGTAAATTTTCGTTGTTGCTGGAGCTATCTACAACCCCTCCTCACATTTCTTGCCCCAAACCTACTTCTGTATTGCCTCCATTCCATTGAAGAAAAAACATGGGGGTAGTGGTGGCTAACCCCTAAATAGAGCTCATATAGAAGGATGTTTTCTGACCAAGGCCGTTGCTTCTGGTTTTCTGAGGCTTGCCTAGCTCCTTCAGTTTCAAGTTGGGTCCCTGTTATGCCTTGTCCTTCATGCCCTGGGAGATTTTGAAGGTTTTGGCATTTAAAATGAAGGAGTTCTGATAGAGGATTCCTCTCCCCAAAAGGATAGATCCCTATCCGTAGTCCATGTGAGCTCTTTGATTTGGGACCCATCATGGTCACCTCTGTGATGAGTCTGCATGGTCACCTGCAGCTTGCCAGCTGGCAAAAGGAAATGAGATTAAAGTTCGGTTCTTTTCTGTCTACCTGGCCATGCATGAGTTGAGAGCGCTGTCCAGAGGTAGATGGAGACTCTGGGATAGCTCCCGGAGAATACCATCGAATTTGTCCACAGTACCCAAATTGAGGGCAACGGATTTAAGGCTAATCCACTTGTCAGGGGTGGAGTAAGGAATGATTTTAAGAGCCCTTTAAGTGAAATAAAGGGCTTCATTGTGTGGAGGGTGCAGGTTTAAATCGATTTAAGCGCTAAATTCGATCTAAAGTCCTAGTGTAGACCAGGGCCTAGAGAGAGCACATTAGTTTTACAGGGGTTCTCTATGCAATTTATTGAAGCAATCTGCTGCTAGTAGGTGGTACTTATTCCCACCATGAAGGTAGGTTATATCTACACTGGTCAAACCAGGTTAGCATTTGCACTTGGTTGAGGTAGACTGTAAACAAGCTGGTTTACTTCACTGACCTACTTAGAAACACAATGCAAGCATTTAGACCTAAAACCAACTTATCTTGTTACACTAACATTAGTCTATTTGAGAACAGGTAAGGAAGCAGTAGGTTTGACACTAGTTGGGTAAAGAAAGACATAATATACTTGCATTCATCATTCTCACTACAAAACCGATTCAGCTATCATGTTGAGGTAAGAGAGCTCATCTGCCACCACACACTAACAATACATTTAAGGCAAAGACCCTAAAGTTCACCCTGAATTTAACCTCTTGTACCTGTCTTCTGTAAAGCTGTCATTTACCTCTGCTACTCAAATACACATGCTAGTAGGCTAAGTGAAGGAATAAGCCATAAACACACAGGTTCTAGTTGGAGCTCTGCTACAAACAGTGTTATAGCCTTACAGCTAAAGTAACTAGGGATGTGAATGTACTTGAAAAATAACTGACACATTAAAAGCAGTGTTAAGTCTCCTGCTGTTTAACAAAACTAGAAGTTTTAGATCCATGCCCTAGAATATACTCTTTTCACTAACCAGGACCCAAAGCACAATTTTCAGTAAAAGCCATTACCTCAAGTTTAGTTTTCCCTATGTGATTAGCTGCTCAAACAGAGGTGGGCAAATTACAGCCCACAGGACCATCCTACCTGGCCTCTAAGCTCCCAGCCCCTCCCCTGCAGCTGCACAGCTTGTGCCTACCCACCTCCCAGGCTTTCCAATAACCCAGTCCTGGCACTCTGAGCAGCATGCTAAGAGGGTGGGGTTGGATAAGGGGCAGCAGGTCCCAGGGGGCAGTTGGATGAGATAGGCATGGGAGTCCTAGGGGGCCTGGAGGCAGGGCTGTGGATAGGGGCTAGGGCCCAGGGAGTGGGGGGGGTTGGATAGGGGTAGGAGACCCAGGAGGGGGTAGTCAGGGCAGTCAGAGCAAAAAGTAGAAATGGGGACCAGGCCGGTTGGGGAGGCACAGCCTTCCCTACCCAGCCCTCCATACCATTTTGCAACCTCAATGCGGCCCTCAGGCCAAAAAGTTTGCCCACTCCTGTGCTAGAAGCAGAAATCTTTGGGATTTGCCTGTATAGGACTCTAGTACCTGTCACTCAACATTTTGGGCCTGGCTTTACAAGAGAAATAGAACTACTCAGTTGCAAGAGCATTCATGAGATTTACTCTCATGGATGTGGGGAAA